GCCTTTCCACAGAGCTAGCTCTGTGGTCACGTGGGTCTGAGGCGGCTGTCACGTGTGTCGGATGCTCATTAATTATACAGAATTTTAGGCTTTCAATACACTTAAACAGAAGAGTGAGAAAAAAATTCACCCCCCTCAGAGTTGTCATGAGTATAAACTAGATAATTTAGACAAAAAACATGTTTTGGTACCAGGCTGTAAACATGTTTATTTCTGCTGTGAAATCGGCATTTTTAACATGGGAGTCAATGAGGATTTGCTCGCTTCTGACACCAGCCCCCAGCGGATGAGGGTGGAACTGCAATTTTTCTTACTTCCGGGTTGGGACCATTTTTAGAGAGGCATTGTGGGGGCTTGAAGGAACCCAGCAAATTGCATCAAGTTACTGACTAGTGTCAGTGACTTTACAGCAGTCCTCATACTAAGCAAGCATATAGCGACAGTGGACAGGAAAACTCCCTTTTAACAGGAAGAAACCTCCAGAGAATCCTGGCTCAGTATGATCAGCCATCCACCACGACTCACTGGGGATCGAGAAGAGAGCAGAGACACACACAAACTCACGCACGCATGCATGCACACACACACCCACGCACACCAAGCAATGTGTCTATGATTACATTGTGATTTCTTACTAAATATTCTATTTGGCGAGAGATAAACTTTATTGTATTTATCCTAGTGAATCTATAATTAAACTGTTAAACTAGCAGCAGCACATCAAACATCAAGGAAAGCAAAAAGTTATCAGGAGAGGGAGAATGTTTAAGTGGTTAGCAGCAGTGTGCTTGACCAGCGGTTCCCAACCTTTTTCCCAAGGGACCCCGTTTTTTACCAGTAAAATTTTTGACGACCCCCTCCCATTCTCTCTTCCAGTACAAACATTATTAAGAAATGATAAAATTGTTCAAGCACATTTTAATATGCTTTGATTCAATAGATAACAGTAATAGTAGGCTCCAGTACAGAACTAAGTCATTAACAAAACCAAACAGAGCATAATGTGCTTGACAGTTTGTATTAATTGTTTCTTGTAAACACTGATAAATCAATCATTCCTTTCAATAAACGTTTGACACATAAAAAATACACTGAGCAAAATGTACTTATATGTGTATATTACTGTTTATACTAGATTATTTACTGTAACCGCTGTGATTAATCAACCAGTCCTATCTTTAATGAACTTTTGACACTTGAAAATAAAACAGTGAGCTGAGCAAAATGTTCTTAAAATTGTGTTACTTTTTCTGTACTAATTATTTCCTGTCTTAATATCAGTAAACTTTTCACTCATGAAAAAAAATGTGAGCAAAATGTAGGCTATAAACAAGTAATAAATGAAGTTTTAACCCTTTAAAGTGGAGAGGTCCTGGCGACCCACTGAGAGGCTTTGGCGTCCCCTTGTGGGGGTCGGGACCCCCAGGTTAGGAACCACTGCGCTAGACGATGGCCCCCTCCATGAGGCCACCACAGCTCAGTAGAACATCATTGTAGCTTCTTCTGGGGAGAAAACCACTTAGAGAAAAAATAAAGTTAACAGCTGAAATTGCAGAAAATAATACAGTTAAAGAGCAGATTGTAGAAGAAAGTAGCAGAGTGTGAAAAGTTGTCAGTGTATCCTCCAGCAGTCTAAGCCTATAGCAGCATAACTACAGAGATAACTCTGGATAACCTAGCTTTTTAGATGGAGGCATGTTGGAGGCAGGGCAAGGGAGAGCCGTCTTTACCAACTGTACACTCAACCTCCCTCTACTCCCCCACTTGTCCAGATCTAGGCTAACATCAGATTTTTACCATAGGCCCTATCAAATAAAAATGTTTTAAGCCTATTCTTAAAAGTAGACAAGGTGTCTGCCTCACGGACTAAAGCTGGGAGCTGGTTCCACAGGAGAGGAGCCTGATAACTAAAAGATCTGCCTCCCATCCTAATTTTAGATATTCTGGGAACCACCAGTAAAACTGCAGTCTGAGAGCGAAGTGCTCGGTTAGGAACGTATGGAACAATCAGATCACTGATGTATGATGGAGCTTGATTAATAAGAGCTTTATATGTGAGAAGGAGGATCTTAAAATCTATTTTGAATTTAACAGGTAGCCAATGTATGGAAGCTAAGACAGGAGAGATATGATCTCTCTTTTTAATTCTCATCAGAACTCTAGCTGCAGCATTTTGGGCAAGCTGAAGACTTTTAACTACATTCTGTGGACTTCCTGAGAGTAATGAATTACAGTAATCCAGTCTTGATGTAATAAATGCATGAACTAGTTTTTCAGCATCACTCCTGGAAAGGATGCTTCTAATCTTAGCAATATTCCGAAGGTGGAAAAAGGAAATCCTGCAAACCTGTTTAACCTGGGATTTGAATGACATGTCCTGGTCAAAGATAACACCAAGGTTGCTTACTTTGTTCTCGGAGATTAATGTAATGCCATTCAGGTCAGGTGATTGACTAAGCAAATTCCTTTTCTGGAATTCAGGTCCAAAGATGAGAACTTCCGTCTTGTCTAGGGCTGGGGGTAAACGATTATTTTTAAAACGATTATTCTGACGATTATTTTATTGAATAGTCGACTATTCTAATGACTATTTAGAAAATTAATCTAATGATTATTTTTCTATTGCACAATTAACAAAAACCAGAAAATCTCAAATAAATTCCTCAAAAAAATTGATAAATTGTTACTGTAAGAGAATAAACACTACAGACCTTCCATTTTGTATAACACTGCTTTTATTGTGTTGCGATTGGTTATGTTCTGGTGACGTGTAGAACTTGGGAGTGCAGGCTGCTGCCTGAGAGGTGGTAGAAGATGGAGTGTCTCCATGCTGCTTTGTTTTGGTCACTTATGTGTGTGAGGGGAGTGGTGTTACGACCCTTCCTGGGGAGTTTGGCTCGTGTGCAAAAAGGAAGGGACAATAACGGGATTTAAAAGTTAAAATGATGATCAGGTTTATTTACAACAACAAAAATCATAAATCTTTCCATCCACAGGTTGGGAATAATAAAACTAATTCTGCCTGTGGGGAATTAAAACAAAGTACAAATAAGTAGGGATCCAAACTCTAAACTGGGTGGTTAAACCAAACTCAAGGTGATATTTTAAACTAAACCGAAAACCCACAACACTCTAAATGTAATAAAAGGGAGATCTGCACCACAAAAAAGATGAACTCTAAACCAAAACGTAACAGCTTATCCAAACGCAAGAAGCTGTTAGCGAAGATGCTAACAGTAGCTTTACCAACGTTAAGTTCAAGTTACCACGTTTAAATAAACCAAAAACACCCAGCAGCAAACAGACCAGCACGGAGGAGAGACTGCTACCACCAAAAAGGCTCTCCTAATGTCCGAAAGAATCTCCTTAATGAAGGGAGAAACGCTCCCGGTGATTTTCTACATCTGCGGTAGACACGAAGCAGCGCATCTGACCCCGGAAGTTGTTGTCCGTTGCCGGGAGACGAAGGCGGACAAAACAGGAAAATAATCTAGTAGTGGACGGACATTGTTCCGGGTCTTCGGTATTTGGCGGAGATGTTAGTGAAGGCGGAGAAGAGGGCGAACTAGAGGAAAAACAGGCAGATTCCTCCTCTATTTACAAACTCCTGGGGATGCAACAAGTGGGCGCGGTGCGTCGACTTCCGGATCTGACGTCGACAAATTTTTAGAATCGAGCCGTCGACGTCATTGATGCGTCGCTACAGCCCTAGTCTTGTCTTGATTTAAATGCAGAAAGTTTTGAGTCATCCAATTTTTTATGTCTTCAAGACAAGCCTGTAATCTACCCAACCGATTAGGTTCATCAGGGTTAATGGATAAATATAACTGAGTATCGTCAGCATAACAGAGGAAGTTTATCCCATGCTGTCTAATGATTTTACCAATTGGGAGCATATATATAGTAAAAAGAACTGGTCCAAGCACTGAACCCTGTGGTACTCCACAAGTAACCCTGGAGTATGAAGAAGATTTGTCATGTACATTTACAAAATGAAATCTATCAGACAGGTAGGATTTAAACCAGCCTAGCGCTGTTTCTTTGATCCCTACAACATGTTCAAGTCTTTCTACAAGAACATTGTGATCTACTGTGTCAAAGGCAGCACTGAGATCTAACAAGACTAGAATAGACACACAATTCTTATCTGAGGCCATGAGAATATCATTTGTAACTGTCACTAATTCAGTTTCAGTGCTGTGATACTCTCTAAAACCAGACTGAAATTCCTCAAACAGATCATTAGTGTTTAAATGCTCACATACTTGGATGGCCACTATTTTCTCCAAGACTTTGGATAAAATTGGAAGGTTAGATATTGGTCTATAATTCATTGGGTCATCTGGATCCAGAGAAGACTCCTTAAAGGAGCATGGGGCAGGAATTGTCCAAAAACAAGAAGTAAATAGGATACATGTTCATTCTTGTGAAGCTTATGGGTGATGAAGCATTTTAAACTAAAAAGAATGATGAAACCAGTTTATCATTCCATTTTGTTAAACAGGCTGTGTGCTGCAAAATGCAAAACAGTTCAGATCCGAATTTCCCGCGCTGTTTTACGGATGTGATGTTAATTGATGCTTCAAGCGCGTTCTCGGCAAGGTTAAAACCCGAAAAACATTTGGAAGCTTTCTAGGTGGCGGCAATGCGTCTTTCACTACTAGCCACGTTAAAACCACAAACAGAAGTGGAAGAACCCTGGAAATGGATTCTACAACTAGCAAAAGACAAAGCGCAACTCAAAGCCCACTAAAGAGTGGCACAAAGAAGATGGTTTTATCAGCGGCATCTCGAGAGTCAAGAAGAAAATATAAAAGTTGGTCAGGGACCCGAATATGTATTGGGTACGCTCTGGAAGAATGAGGCTTGTTCAACTCAATTTGGTCCTGAAAAGGATGCGGACATGGCACATTTTCTAGTGACCAGGTAAGTGTTGTATTAGCTGGTCTCCTTATGTCTGCTGTAGGTTTCAGTAACGAGTAGGTAAACATATCAGAGCTGTATCTGCACAATTTAAGAAAAGAAAATAAAACCTATGGATTTAGATAATGCTGATTTAGGTAATCTAACAAATCTTTGTGCAGATGAACAAGAAACTTATCTAAGCTAACAGTGTTTAGCATATGGCTTCCTGATCAGTTTGAAAAAGCTAAAAGCAACTAAGGAGTAATCGGATCACTTCTACGTTTTGTGGACGACACACTGCATGTGTTTGGAGATAAATGGATGCTCCGTTTATTCTGACGAGAAAAGTAAACAGAGCTTGATTTGATTATATGATGTCACCGAGTCGGAGAGAGCTAGCGTGCGGTAGCATTTTAGCTGTGATCACGCTTCAGTTTCTATGTACCACAGAAGAGAATGGACATTTTCCAAACCAAAGACGAGTCTTTAGAATTATGTCATATTTGATCTGCAGTCCAACCTCTAAGCAGGACTGTTACTTCAGTAGATAATGTTATTCGTGGGGTTTGTGTAACAGAACCCCATCGGAATATCTTTTCCTAGCACTATTGCTGTGCTACAAAAGAGTATATAATGAGTCAGCCATAACTACATGTTTTACTAAAAGTAAAGTTGTGCAGAAGTTTGTGTTTATTTTTCTAAATTTGTCCTGTTGAATGTAGGTCAGAATAAAATATGTTTGTGAAAATGATAAATAATTTTTTTTTATAACTGACCTGCATTTTCATATTACCAGTTGTGCCACAGGTAAAGAAGCTTAGCCATTATTGATCTATGTAAACAGAAGGTGTAGAGTCTCAACCAACTTGTTGACAATTTTGTTTAAAAATGTGTTTTCCAGCTACCGGAAGAAGCAGGCTCCTGAAACTGCAATTCAGGGAGGTTATGTGCAGTCAACCTCGACACCCAGTAAGAGAACAGCAGCTAAAATGTCGCATCGATTATCTCCAACTGAACCTGTGTCTGAGGGGTTAGTATCTTTTCTGTAAAACAAATATTCACGTTTTTGTGCTATGATATTTCATACATTAAATTACACCTTGCATATCCACACTTGGTTCAGAACTAACATCACACCACCAAACACTTCTGACATTATCTTTACAGGGAAGATTTTCTAATGGCTGGTGTTGAGGCCTTAGCTGATGACCTAGATTTGGATCCTTTTGAAGAAAGGTAAATTTGTTCATGAGGAGTCTTATATGCAGGAAATTACTGCTGTACTATGTGCAAAAAAGATAAAAACACAATAGATAAGCAAATATAGGTCATTATACATATTTATTTATTCTGTGAAGTGTCAATTCAGTGTAGATTGTTGTTATTTGCAGAAAAAATTAATGACAGATGTAGGCTCCATATTTATCTCTTTAGAATCAGTACCATTTCAGGTAAGTTCCAGTATTTATCTTTACGTACAACAAATATTATTGTGTTGTCTGTAGTTTCAAATCCATGGATCTAGCTACGGATGCAGTCCAAATTGATGAGGACCAAGCAAACAACTAACTCAACTGTGTGTGACTTGCAATGTCTTCTTATCTACATATATATATTAATATATTAATTCTACTTTTATTTATTGTTTTCATAACAGAATAGAACTGTCATGAAAACTTTGTCAGGCTGACGAAGTTTGCAGCCGCAAACAAAACGTTGCAGGTAAATAAAACCCTTCTATGTTTTAAAAAGAACTAAAAGATGGAATTGTTGTTTTATCCTTGTTCACAGGCTGGGATTCTAAAGGGAAATTCCATCCTACTTGTGTGGCTGAAGGACATTGTCAACCAATTTTGGTACATTTGCCAGAAAGCACAACATTGTGATATGTTTAATCTAAGTATTGTGACATCTTTTGGACAACAAGACAACAATGCACATTGACATAATTACCTTTCTTTTCATAATAGTGCCAGCTCTCGTGTTTCTGTTGGTGAGCGCTTCTGTCACATGTAAAGTTTTCAATTAAAACTTATTTTTTCTGTTAGGACATGTGGGTGGGTGTGCTTCACCATGTCACAGGGAAGCATGAATGGACCCCGTGGCAAATGTGACCATGGACCACTTGATGCAACGACCAGTGATAAAGAGCTTATGGTACCATGATCTCCACCACATGAGGCTCTTCAACGAATCATGTTCAACAGACGCTGGTTGAAGGATGTCATCAATCTGACCTTTAGGTATATTAATAACATTTTCATAAGCAAAAAAGCTATAGCAGGGGTGTCAAACATGCGGCCCGCGGGCCGGATCCGGCCCACAAGCAGGTTAAATCCGGCCCGCGAGATGGTTGTGTAAACTTTATGTTCATACTTTACAATGTAGAGTGAACTTGTGAGCAAGTTTTCTCTGTAATGAGTATAAATAAAACAAAGCTGCGCTCAAGGCTCACACAAGAACTTGAATCACATCCTGAAGTTGGCCGCCACTCAGGATGTGACTTCTGATATTGATGTGGTGGTGAAAGCTAAAATATGTTAAGTAAAATGAGTCAAATATATTTGAAGTGCTGCATGAAACTGATCTAGCCATGTGATCTGTAATCTCTTTGAATCACTAAGGAATGTTTTCTTTAATTGATTTTTTTTTTTTTTTTCAAATTTTCAAGTACACTTCAGGTGTTGTACTTGTACTATTTTGGATACACTGTCCTCAGGCTCCAGCCTTGTTTTATATTGATTGTATTAAAACAAAGAAAACAATCTGAAGTTGTTTTTAACTTACCGGTGCGGCCCACTTGGGACTAGATTTCCCTCAGTGTGGCCCCTGAGCTAAAATGAGTTTGACACCCCTGAGCTAAAGTGCCAATATCAAAGCTGACAATTTACATATAGAAATGACAATTGTGGGTGAAAAGGCAATCTAAAGTGTGATTCCTAATAATCTATAAAGTTGTAGCTTTTGTTTTTTTTACAGGTCAACTTCAGAACTGGAGAGTTTCCAGAATTGCATTCTCATGTATGCTGGAAAAAGGTAATTTGATTTAGAAGTGATTTGTACATTATTTGTTATAATTACTAACTGAAATTATTACATTTTACAGGTTATGAATGACAAATAGAAATATATAGCATGTGTTATGTCCTAGCAAAATTAGTCCCTTGTAAATTATGTGGTTAAATTTTTATAAATCTTGTCCCCCCTCTCCATGCCAAACAGGTTTGCATTCTCTCCTCCTGTCTACGAAGCCAGGTGCCTTCTTGCTGCGTTGGATTACAACCACCACAACCACCGACCAGATTATATAACCCGGAAAAATGAGAAGTTGTAAGTCTAATAGTTTTGTTTATCTTCAAGGAATATGATCTGTACTTCAAAATAAGTTGTTGGATTTGTCAAGTTGAAAATGACAATTACCAGATTGGATGGAGCCTTGCTATATGATCTAATAATGCTGTTCTCCTCTCTCCATAAAGGCCCCAGCTACGTGAAGCATAAAAAGACAGGAATGACTTCTTTCATGCACACAGATTTATTAGAAATTAAGAAAAAATACTATGTACAAATGCAAATAACAGAACTTTTTTGTACATTAATAAAAATAAATATATTGCACAAACAGTTTTTTTTTGTGTGTGAAAATACTTTCTTCAGCTTGTTATTTTGAGGTATTGTGGTGTTTTGGAACTACTGTAGTTGTAGATAAACGGTTAGGATTTTTAGTTTGCAACCCTAAATGGTGCTTCTTTGTAGCCAGTGTAATTCCCAAATGGATCAGGGAATTTTTCCCGTATACGTAGAACACAGCAGCTTGGAATTGGTCTCTGACTTCCTCTTCCCAGACGCCCACATGTTGCCAGACCGTAAACTGACGATATGCAGCAAAATGAAACTCTCGGTTGTCTGTGGCCACATCTTGGTTGTCCTCTAAGGTGAAGATGTCGTTCCAGGTCATCCTCACTAGACGCAGTGTGCCCTCATCCAAGCAGTATAGCTGCAGGTGAGCACTTCTCCTTGGACAAAGCTCCGGAACCTGCCTACAGCACAGATTTTCAATCTGTGTAGGCATGCGTCGACAGTTCTGGCAAGTGCACCACGCAGGCTGCCCTCGATCAGGAAGATGGTGTCCTGGCGTCTCTTGCCGAAACTCCAGGATATCCAGCATCACCCCTGGGAGACGGGTCACCACTCTCGAGAATATAATCTCCTCCTGGCTCAGGTGTTGTAAAGCTGTCTAGAAATTAAAGAGCATATGTTTACATGACTAGATTCTTATCTCCAGTGAGTGATGTTATAGTTTTTGGCATCTCTCTATTTTTTATTTATTTATTTTTTATACATATGGCTACAACCAACCTGCATCTCAGCTATACTGGCAGCTCTCAGCTGTGCAAGCCGGTCTCGGTCCTCTTCTCTGAAAGCTGATGTTCGTTGCCTACCCCGGTGCCCTGGTCCTCTTGAAGGAGCTCTGGACCTCGACCTGCTGCCCTCACCCCTTGAGTGTGTCCTTCCCCGACCCTCGGAGCGACCTTTTCCTCTCCCCTTTCCTGTACTACCGTTTCTTATACCCCCTGGTCTCAGACTTTCCCACGACACATCATAGTCTGTGGCAGGCTCAGGCACTTACTCCTCATCTGAACTGCCTTCCATCACTCCTTCCAATGTGAATTCCTGAAAATCAATGACAGTAATGATAAAAATGACTATTACCCTGTAGGTCTTGTTGATATGATTTTGTTTTGATGCATTTTTTTGAACTAAACATTGATATTTATGTTCTTATTTACGTTGTTGTGATGCCTGTCCTGTAATGAAATTGGTTTCACAAATGATGTCAGTGACTTGAAATGGGATGTTCTTACATGATGTATAAACAATAACATTAGCTTGTTAGTATGCTTAGTGCAAAATAATAACTGTAATTTGTCTAAAAACATCAGAAATCACCTGCAGCCACAAAGCCTTATGCTTATAAAGTAGCATCATGTTACTTTTTTGCTCGCCTGTCACAAAACTGGCTTATGAATATTTCATAGGAAGGAGCACGAGTGTCATGGCTAAATTAAAATGCTAATGTTGTCATGGAATTTTACAAATATTAGACTAAAGTAACAATGTTACTTACTTCATCACTCGACATGGTGCCTTGTTCGAGCCGCGCACTGGCCGTACATCACTGAAACTTTTTTTTTCCTAGTGAAGAAGGGTTTCTGCGTGCTCTCGTGCCGGGCTGCAGTTACTCACAGCGCCGAGTGCGTCGCTAATGAGTTTTGTTTCTTCATCCTGCCCCATGCTCCTTTAAGTGAAGGTTTGATTACAGCAAACTTAAAATCGTGTGGTACATATCCATTTACTAGGGATAGATTGATTATATCTAGAATGGGGGCAGTAACCAAAGGAAATGCATCTTTAAATAATTTGGTTGGGATTGGATCTAAAATGCAAGTTGAGGGTTTAGATGAAGCTAATATTTTTAACTCTGAAAGCTCAACTGGATCAAAACGGTTCAAACACAGATGAGGTTCTACAGTTACCTCTGATGCTGCCTCGCTTACTGAGGAAGAAGAAATCACATTAGGGAGCATGCTAAAGATTTTGTTTCTAATTAAATTAATTTTACTTGTGAAAAATCCCATAAAGTAGTTACTGCTAAGGGAATAGATGGTTCGGAGCTATGATTCTGTGTAAGTTTGGCAACTGTGCTGAAAAGAAATTTAGGATTATGCTTATTCTCCTCAATTAACGCTGATAAATAAGCAGTTCTAGTTTGTCGAAGCTTATTTTTATAAAGCACAAGACTATTTTTCCAGGATAAGTAGGACTCCTTATGGTGCATAGAGCGCCATGTTCTCTCCAATTTTCTAGAGTTTTGTTTAAAAGCTCGTAAATGAGAATTAAACCAGGTAGCCAACTTCCTGTCCCTAATTACCTTCTTTTTTAAAGGGGCAACATCATCTAATGCCACACGTAAAGAAGAAGTAACATTATGAACTACGGCATCAATTTGTGAGGGGCTAGAAATGAAAATATTGCCCTCTGCTACGTTCCTCTTAGATGCAGAGGACATTAAAGATGGAACAGTTGATTTAAAAGATGTAACAGCGTTGTCAGATAGAGACCGACCATAATGAAATTTACTTTCATGTCTCAAAAACTCAGTTATAAAAAACTCAAAGGTTATCAGAAAGTGGTCCGAGAGGACTGGATTATGTGGAAAGATCTTGTATTTCCTCACACTCTATGCCATAAGTCAGCACAAGGTCCAGTGTACGATGGCAGGAGTAGGTGCTATGCATTCTTTGAGTAAAACCAATTGAGTCTAAGATATTACCAAAGGCTACTTTGAGGCTACTCCTCCTTGAACCGTCACCTTATCGTGGTGGAGGAGTTTGAGTGCCCTAATGATCCTAGGAGCTATGTTGTCTGGGGCACTTAGTGCCCCTGGTAGGGTCTCCCATGACAAATTGGTCTTAGGTGAAGGGTGAGACAAAGAACGGTTCGAAGGATCTTTCATGGCGGTTAAAATGAAGAGTCGGAGTACCCGGCCCGGAGGGTTACCGGGGTCCCACCCTGGAGCCAGGCC